GTTAGGCTCAGACGGGAGGATTGCTTGAGCCCAGGAGGCTGAGGTTGCAGTGAGCTGATATCGCACCACTACACTCCAGCCTGTGCAACAGAGTGAGACCCTGTCTCAAAAAAAAAGATAGGGTTTTGCTCTGTCACACAGGCTGGAATTCAGTGGCATGATCATGGCTCACTGCAGCCTTGAAATCCCGGGCTCAAGCAATCCTCCCACCTGAGCCTCCTGAGTAGTTAGGACTACAGGCACACACCACCACACCTGGATAATTTATTTTATTTTTTGTAAAGACGGGGTCTCACTATGTTGCCTAGGCTGGTCTAGAACTCCTGGGTTCAAGCAATCCTCCCACCTTGGCCTCCCAAAACTCTGGGACCATAGATGTCAGCCACTGCCCCAGCCAGAGCTGCCACTCTTCATACTGCGTGCACAGCATGACATTGGGCAAGTCACCCCTCATCTCGGCACTTCAGTTTTCTCACCCCAGGATCCCTGATTCTGCCTCCTGGTCTCCTCCATCCCCAGCTTGTGCCCCAGCCCTTCTCACCCAGGCCGATGCTCCCATAGCCCAGGTGGGGAGGCACAATGAGGCGTCGCCGCTCGTTGACACACATGCCCATGAGGCCTCGGTCCATGCCAGTGATGAGGCGCCCCACGCCCACCACGATGGCCACCAGGGTGTTGCGATCATAGCTGACGGGGAGGGACAGATGGGATACAGTGATCTCAGACACACACTGCCCACTGTGGCACAGGTGCACAGGTGTGCCTGCACACACGCACACAATCCCCCCTCCCTATACCCAGATGTGGATATGCACACACACTTCTCGCCTCCTTTTCAAGTTCCCCTCCTAAGTCGGCCGTGACACTCACCTTAAGGGAACGGACTGTTACAAAAAGCAAGTCCCTGAGGAGGCCAGGCGCTGCTACTGCCCTGGGACGGGTTTGGGCGGGATGCATGGGCCTGATTGCTGCTACTATTTCCTGACAGCAAGTGGGCAGTGGCAGGTACAGCACAGAGGGACAGAGGAGCATTATTATATGGGATTAAATGCTTGGCATTTTACATTCTGTATCTTCTTTCTCTCCCCTGTGAAGTGGGCAATCTTGTTCTCATTTTTCTTATGAGAACAATGGAGACTTGAGAGATTCAGTGCCTTGCCCAAGGTCACACAGCTAATATTAATATGTAGTCAGCTGAGTTCCAAAGCCCATGTTTTTGCCATTATACTGTTGGCTCTCCAAGGAAAAGACAAGGAGAGCAGAGGTGGGGTGGGAATTGGTTTCACATTTTGAAAAGGCCTATTCTACAATCCTGGCTAACACAGTGAAACCCCGTCTCTACTAAAAATACAAAAAAATTAGCTGGGCATGGTGGCGGGCGCCTGTGATCCCAGCTACTCGGGAGGCTGAGGCAGAAGAATGGCGTGAACCTGGGAGGCAGAGGTTGCAGTGAGCCGAGATTGCGCCACTGCACTCCAGCCTGGTGAC